TCCCCTTTTTTCTTTTCTTCTCCTTCTTCTTCTTCTTCTTCTTTTTTTTTTGAACGGGGGATTGAACTCAGGCCCTTGCAATTGCCAGGGAAGCACTTATTCTACTGAGCCATCTCCCCAGTGCCCCCATCCCATTTTTTCAAACTCTCTTCCCCTCCCCATCCACAAAGCTCAGTTTTCCTTCTATCCTCCTTTTCATATTTTTTCTTTCCCTTCCTTCCCCCTCCTCCCATTTTCCCTTTGAGCAGTTTCTTATTTTACAGTATCTACTTTAATTTGTATTCTTATTTACATTTTCAGTTTCTCACACCAGAAAGCTATTGCAGTATTTACACATGTATGTTCAGTTTATGTCATGCATGATTATGGTCTCAAGATCCAGACATTACTCATTTTAAGAATTTTATGTGCATATTTCTTTGGGCCAGAGGGTTGGAATCTGTTGAATGAACTTCATTTTTCTGTTTCTTTTTTACTTTATTTTGGGTTCTCGTTGCTTATCTTTTATAAACTATTATTGCAAGTTTAGGCAATTCTAGCACTTTCTTAGCTTACCATAGAACATGGGGAAAGTAATTCTAATAGCTAAAGTTTTAAAGGTGCATTTCTTCTCTCTCTGTTTTTCTCTTGCTCTCTTTCTCTATGGGGTATGTGTGTGTGTGTGTCTGTGTCTGTCTAGTTGGTAGCAGTTGTGCAGATGGAATGCAGGAATGCTTTGCCCCTGAGATATACCTCTATCCCTTTACAATTTTATTTTTAAATTTTGAGGCAAGGTCTCAGCTAAGTTGCCCAGGCTAGCCTCAAATTTGAGTCCTCCATCAGCCTCCCAAGTAGCTGGGATTATAAGTGTACACCAACATGCCAGGCTCTGTTTTTTGTACCGTAAGTGAGAGTCACACAGTCATTCTAAGGCAAATGTTTCCTTTTTTTTCTTTTTTGCAGGTTGTGGTTGTACAGGCAATTAGTGCTCTCTGTCAGAAGTATCCTCGGAAGCACAGTGTCATGATGACTTTCCTCTCCAACATGCTTCGAGATGATGTAGGTAGAACACTCCTTAACCATTGCAGGTTACGCTTTTAAATTCTCGTGGTGGTGTGACTAGATTTCTTTGTCATCTCAATATGCCTCCCGAATAACGTATTTTTAACTCTGGTTACTGTCTTTATTACTAAATAGGCTACAGTACTCTGTATTTACATTTGGAGGAAAAAAAGCCCTATTTTTTCATAAAAGGAAAGAATTTAAATTTGAATGTTATAAGCATGTGTCTTAGAGTATAATCATTTTTCCAAAAAAAGTATCTTTGTAACAAATGGCAGTTTTGTCTGTTTTTGCCCAGGGAGGATTTGACTATAAGCGGGCCATCGTTGACTGCATAATCACCATTGTGGAAGAAAACCCTGAGAGTAAAGAAGCAGGCCTAGCCCACCTTTGTGAATTTATTGAGGACTGTGAACACACAGTTTTGGCTACTAAGATTCTACACTTATTGGGCAAAGAGGGTCCCAGAACACCTGTCCCCTCCAAGTACATCCGCTTCATTTTTAATCGGGTTGTCCTAGAAAATGAGGCCGTTAGAGCTGGTGAGTCATGGGGCATTGATAATGCTGATTTTTTGTAAAATGTAACTTAAGAAGGTGGTGATGAAGTTGGAAGATAAATTTGGAAAATCTGTTTGCTGGTAGAACATTCCTTAGGCCCAGTTACAGTATATGCTTTTCCTCAGTACAGCAATAGCCATCCATCCAGACTTTTGCCTTTGAGACAAATAACCTTTGACTTTCAGTATAAAAATACTATAGTGGCTTCTCCATTTTTTTCATTTGTAGCTATAGGTATGAGTGTATGTAGAATGTCTGTGTGAATGTACTTCTCTTTGTCTGTTTTTAGGAAACTTCCTCTCTCATCCATCTTTGCTTCCCCTAGCATATGAACAATTCCAGATCTCAATGTAAAGCCTCTAATCCTTTGTGTCTCATTAACTACAGATTACTTTTCTTTCTTCTCTGAGATAAACTTGAAGTAGCCATTGCTAGCTGCCTCTATGAATTCGTTTCCATTTTCTCTTTAGGTCAATACAATTTAGCCTGCTCCCTCTCCAAATCCTCTTGACACTTAAAAAAAATTCCTTATAAAGTAGTAAAATTAAGTTTGATACATTAATGTTCTTCTCTTTGTTTGCTTCTCAATTTGATGTGCTGTTGACTGAGCACTTCATGAAATCCTCTCTTCATTTTCCCCAGTTGCCTACATTTTTCTGTAATTCCTCAGTCTTATTTATAGAGCTTCTCTTCTAAAAGTCTAGTCCTCTATATAGAGAGCTCTCTATAGCCTTCTACTACTAGTTCTTAGTATTTGGTCATTTCAACATATGCTAAGTCATTCTGTCATGTATCTTCCGTGAACTAGCATGTCTGTCTGTCCTACTGCACTTCACATTCAACCTGAAATTCACACTAACTCAAACTGATAGACTCGCCATGTTAATTCAGTCACCTGTGAAAAGATGTTTATTCCACTGTTTTACAACCCTGTCCATTCTTTGGCAAAGCCCTCTCAGTTCTGCCCCCTTGTATTTCTTCATTCTCTTGTTTTTGTTGGTATGAGATCTGACTTAGGCTTTCATCCACTTCAGATACCTAAGTGGTCTGACTGTCCCTAGTCTCACACATATCCAGTCTATTCTCCACACTGCTAAAATTTATTTCCTATCTAGTGTCCTTTAATAACAACTTGGAGGTTGACTCATAGCTGACTTCTGTTATCTCACTTTGACTCCTTTGTTCTCCAACACAGATGTGACGCTCAGCTACTCCCCCACTGCACTGAGGTCTGGTAACATACCTTTTCTGCTCTGTACAGGAGCATAAGTACTTATTATTGCACTGCTAATCTTTTTCTGCTTTCCCCCTCTTACTTACCACTACTTGTTCTTAAAATTTTAGCTCAGGGAATGTGTGTCACTTTCTTTTCTCCACTAGTTCTGATGTAAGTTCTTTTTTATGTATTCACTTATCCAGAATATAATTCTACTTGAGACTTAGTATGCTGTGTTGTAATTATTTCCTTACTTCCCTATCTTTCCTACTGCGAAACAACTCTTTAAAATCAGAAATCATGTCTTTTATCTTTCTACCCCAGCACATACCGCAGTTCTTCATGAAAGTTAAATAAACAATGAATCTTTATTGAATGAAAGAAATTTTAATAATAGAGTTTCTTCTATACTTAGGGCTAGTTATTTGAATTAGAACTTAATCATACAGAAGATATATAAAAGGTAGTAGGATAAATTTTTTGCTTGTACAGAAAATATGCATGATTCTTTTTCCTGAAGGCATGGAGGGTTTTCCTAGATAGAGGTCTCTACAGCCTTCAGAATGCTTATGCTTAAATGTATTAAAGAAATAAGATTAAGAAACCCTCAGTAAAATAAGAGACATTCCCTTGAACATGGACTGCTTTTCTGATTAAGAGATTAGTATTTATATTGCTTCATTTTATGCTTCATAATAGCTGCTGTGAGTGCTTTGGCTAAATTTGGGGCTCAGAATGAGAGTCTTCTTCCAAGCATCCTTGTACTCTTACAAAGGTAAGTAACAGTTTCTTTCTTTTAAAATGGGAATTCTATATGGCTAAATAGTGAAATCCTCATTGTACGATATCAAATGTACCATACTCCTTAGCTAATGGAATAAGTCAAGGGTAAAAATGGCATTTTTCTTCTTTCTAGTAATTATTTATGTGCTAGATACATGTAAAATTTGAGTTTGGATTCTTCTGTCTTTGGAGTCATAACAAAAATATACTTCAGTTTTTGCAACATGTCCTAAATTTAAAGAAATCTTATATGATTCATATTCCAAGTGTGAAAATGTTAGCTTTTGATGGGCTGCATCATTTCCTACTTGATGAGGAAAGGACTTGCTGTAGCAAATAATCCGTGATTACATTTTGTAATTGAAGCAGGTAAATCAAAAAGCTGTCTGGTTTAAATAAAACAGATTATCATTTGAACAGTAACAGTACCAGGACTCTGAATGCTTTATTCTTTTAGTATCCTTAGAAAATATAGTATTTTGGACAGGCCAGGTAGCTCAGCAGACTAAAGTGCCTGCATAGGGAGAGCTCAGCATGCTGTGCCGGCCCCATCCCTGGGGCACGCTGAGACAGGAGAATCACTAGGAGTCTGATCTACATAGTGAGACCCTGGAGACCTGTAGTAAATACATTTAAAAAAAAGAAAATATAATATTTGTAGTTCCTAATTTTTAGAGAATTGTAAGGCAGCAGGTTCATGTAGATGCAGATGCAACAATAAATTCTAAACTGCTATTTCATTTTAATGTGTTCTCCTAGTTTCTTTTTTTTTTTCTTTTGGCAGAATCGGGGATTGAACTCAGGCCCTTGCGCTTGCCAGGGAAGCACTTATACTGAGCCATCTCCCTGGCCCCTTCCTAGTTTCTTAAGTGCCTACTTATACAGTACCTGTGCTTTACAGTAACATTTCTTTAGTAATTCAGAACTGTTCCAAGGATTTGTGGAGACTTTTGGTGCTAGTGTTAGCAGTTTTATGAAGGTAGCTATGACCTTTAGATATGATATTTGAGCTATTGGAAATTTTGAGGGTACTGAAACATGCCTGTTTTTGTGTTGCACAGGTGTATGATGGATACGGATGATGAAGTACGAGACAGAGCTACCTTCTATCTGAATGTGTTACAGCAGAGGCAGATGGCCCTGAATGCTACATATATTTTCAATGGTCAGTGAGAGCCAAGGACATAGACAAATGTACTTCTCTTTCCCAAATAGCGTCTTGGGACATAGTAGTTTCTAATGATTTGTATATTAGCTAGGTCCGCTAGGCAAATGCTTAGTTTTTCTTTGAATGCACTTTTTCTAAGGGAATTTGTGTTCACGAGGATAATGGAAATCCTATGAGACAATCTATAAGAAAGTATTTTTTTTAAATATGGGAGGGCCCAAAGAATATTGATTATTATTGGGTTTTTTTTTGTTTTTTTTTTTTGTTTGTTTTTTTTTTAATCTTTCTCTTGGATAGGTCTTTCCTTTTTCCTTTTTTTTGGCGTCTCATTGCTCCCATATGGTTAAGGTGCTTTCTTTTCCGAGAGGTACTTACATTTTGTTGAAAAATTTTATGCTCTGTTCCCATATTTCCTTGAAAGTAATATGACAGTTAATAATTTTATAAGGCAGTTTTATATAATATACTTTTTAAAATCTCTTAGATTATAAAATGGTTATCTTCCTTCAGAAAGCTTAGATAAATATTATGAACCATTGGCAAGAGGTTAAAATGCTGAGATTTCTCTGTTGTGATAGGTCTGACAGTCTCCGTACCAGGAATGGAAAAGGCCTTACACCAGTATACATTAGAGCCTTCAGAAAAACCCTTTGACCTGAAATCAGTTCCACTTGCTGTGGCTCCTATCTTTGAGCAGAAAACAGGTAATGAGAATATCTGACTGGTAGTTTTTGTTTATGGATATAGAAAATAGTTTTGCAAAACTACTATTAGCATACCTTCTAAAGGAGAAAATAAAATTAGAAAAAGGCAGTATTTAGTAGTTATTGTATAATTTTCACTTGATGTAAAATTAATTATATTTTTATTAGGAATTTTCCAAATGACTTCTGTGTTTTGCATAAAAGCATTATGAAATATGTCCCAGTATTAGAGTATTTTCTTTTTTAAAAAATTTGAAGTGTTAAGAGCATTTGAAGTAGTTAGTTGCCACTGTGTATCTCAGAGCAGTGCTGTCACCACTAGTTTTTATTTGATATAGTTGATAATCTTATAGTTCATTAAACCAGTGAAAGGTTTGTCTTGAAAGACTGTAGGACAAAGTCACTGAAAATATTTACAAAGGATCTCCAACTTTGAGAACTAAAAGTGAAAAGGAAAAAAGAAAATAAGTAGTTGTTAGAACACAGAAAAACTGGAAATGAAAGAACTTATGCTTTAATTTTCAACATTTTCCAAAGTGTTTTGATGGTATTTTACAAGTGATATTTCTTATTTTGATTATAAGATTTGATATTATAAATTGTTTTTCTTTTTATGATGACTTTTTTACAACTCAGTATATTTAAAGCAAACTATTTTTAAGGCTTACGTTTTTATAATATTAAGCTCATTAAATATATTTTATTTTGAATGTCCTCCTACTCAAAAAAAAGGTGACAAAAAATATTGGTGTGATTTAGCAGTAGCTCATTATCTGCTAGAAGTTTCTGCCCTTATTTTTTAAAATTTTTTTTATTTTCATTTTAATGAGAAAAAAATAGCAATGAAACAATTTCAAAACAGGTTAGTAGGACAGTTACAATAATTAATACATTCTATGTTGTTGTCTTCATAGTGGTTATTCAGAGGACAAGATGCGGACATCTTGTCTAAACAATATTAGTACAAACCTTTCTTCTCATTGAACTAAGGGAAAGTAGCTGTGTATCTATCCTAATCTTCATTCTGAGCTCAAAGTGGGGAGAGAAGCTAATGTGATTGATCATATATGTCTTTGTAGAAATCACACTCGCGGCTCCCAAGCCTGAAAAGTTGGCCCCTTCCAGACAAGACATTTTCCAAGGTATGATGATTTGATATGTAGAAATAATAATCTTTAATCCCTAGACATTATATTATAAAGACACTGCTTTTATTAAATTTGATATATTCTCAAGTCAGGAAATCTTTGTATAGCTGAAGATCATAGAAGTATTATTGCAAGGGCTACTGGAAGCTCATGAAACTTCTAATATCAATTGCTAATGTAGTAACTGGAAATATTGTTCTTTCTGTATGTTGATGGCTAATAGGGAATTCAAATTTTAGGAAGTTAGGAATTTAATTTCTTTTGTTTTTAGTAATTCAGCATATAAACTTGCTAATATTTTGCTGAAGTTTGAGGGAATGTTAGTTTAATGTTCAACTATTAGTAAGACTATGAAACTAAAACATTTTTCCATTTTTAGGAACTAAAGCATTTTAGCATAGTTCTCCTTTTCTTTATGTCTTTGACTTACTTTTGTTTTTTTCTTGATAGAACAATTAGCTGCTGTTCCTGAGTTTATGAGCCTAGGACCCTTGTTCAAGTCTTCTGAGCCTGTTCAACTTACTGAAGCAGAAACAGAATACTTTGTTCGATGTATCAAGCACATGTTCACCAGTCATATTGTGTTCCAGGTAAAATAAGTGCTTTGGCTCCTTAGAAATTTAGTATAAGCTGGTCTGCTTGGAGACAAATTATCAATCCCTTTAGCTTATGATTTTAGTTTTTACTTTTTTTAAGGAGAATTTAGCAGCAGTTTTTTTTTCCCCCCATAACCAGGGATTGAACTCAGGATCCTGCGCTTGCCAGGCAAGCGCTTATTCTACTGAGCCTTATCCCTGGCCCCATAATTTAGCAGTAGTTCTAATTCTCTTTATAAAGCTGTAAAGATCCCTTCATATGATAGGTAACTTTTGATTCTTAAAATCTAAAACTGAAATATCTGAAGAAATTGGGCAACATAAAGTATAACTTCTAAAAAAATCAGCATTTTACATCAAGACATATATATATGTCTTAAATATGTTGTTTAAAGAACTTATATTTGACAGCATCAGATTTCTACAATCTTGTTTGGTATAGCTCAATTTCAGGAAAGAAAAAAAACGGATGAATAGTATAAAAAGAGCTCAAAAATAAGACTCTTTTGCCCAAATTAAAATCTTAGGATGGGATTGAGTGTGTAGCTCAATGATACATGTGTACTTAGCATGTGCAGAACCCTCCCTAGGTTTAGCCACCACCTGTCTCCCTGAAAAAAAGAAAAGAGAAAAAAATCTTAGGGTACCAATAGTGCTTTTTTTTTTTTCGGAACCGGGGATTGAACTCAAATAGTGCTATTTAGAGAGAGAAAATATAGTGTGTTCCAGAGCTGAGCTGTGGATTATGAGTGAAGAGAGACAATTTATTTTAAAATATTTATCCTTTGTTTTTCATTTGCTGACATTTCAGTTTGACTGTACCAATACCCTCAATGACCAGCTACTTGAGAAAGTGACAGTGCAGATGGAACCATCAGATTCCTTTGAAGTGCTGTGTTATATCCCAGCTCCCAACCTTACTTACAATCAACCAGGAATATGTTACACTCTTGTTCGTTTGCCTGATGAGGACCCTACAGCAGGTACTAACCCATAGGAAAGAGAGCATACTCGCATGATTGAAAATGCATTACTTCTTGAGCTTATAGAATGTCTGGACAAATGTTTAGGGTTCAAGAATACGTTTCTTTTCCCTATTTTAATGTACTCATGATGACTATGATGTGTGTATGTTTATAAAATTGGTTACTGCCGTAGGAGTATTAATTTAAAAACTAAAGTTTCTGAGTAAAACCTGCCAGTGATTTTATCTAAAAAGATAAACTACATGTATACAGTGGTAGTCCAAAAAAGAACTCGAGTTTTCTATTGGAATAATGTAACCACTAGTGAGAGTTTATATATTTCATGTCTCATACGAAGATTCATGACCTGGTGATGTTTCTAGAGCATTTATTTTATTTTTTATTTTTTTATTTATTTACTTATTTTTTTGGTGGAACCAGGGATTGAACTCAGGCCCTTCCGCTTGCCAGGGAAGCGCTTATTCTACTAAGCCATCTCCCCAGCCCCTTCTAAAGCATTTAAAAGAGTGTTTCTAAGCTTTGTTATTTTATTAGATGGTTGCATTTGAAAATACACCATTTTTAAAGGCCCTGTAGTATAAAGCTGGTGTTTAAAAGTATGTTTTACCCCATGAGTAGCTTCACTAACCATTGTGTCCACATCTGAGAAAAGACTTTGCAATTCTCTACTTGGCCTGTGTGCAGTCATTGGAGGGTTGGGAGGGGTGTGGCTAGTAATGACAACTGCTACTGCCTGTAGTAGGATGTACAAATTTGGAATTTGGGAAGGTCTTGTGATCCATCTCTTTTCAATGTCAAGTATCTGTTGTACTTTATTTCTTTCCCATGTTCACTGCACAATACCCAAAGCTGTAACGCAGTTGTCACAGAAATAAACACACACATCAATTTATGTTTTGAACAATCTTTACTATTTTAAATACAGGAAAAACAAAGGTTAGCAAAATTAACAAATATTGGGGAAGTTACAGAGTTACAAGAAATCATAGAAATACTAGTAAATAGTTATCCCTGGTCATCACTGAGTTGCATTTGGGGCTGACCCTGCTTTCCTCTATAACCCCTCTTCTAACTCCCTTCTCTGATATTCACTCCTGGGGCTCCTGCCCAGTCTCATCTGTTGGATGCTGGACCAGGCTGCTGAGACTCTGGCAGAAGGTAGATTCAAGTTGGCACCACTCTTGAGTCCAGGTGTTCCCTCTGGCCCAGGGTAGAGTTGCACTTCTGTCCTACAACCCACCTAGATCATAACCCATTGGCTAGGAAGGTACTTTCCTATCTGGTCTCTGATTATTTCTCCTATGAGCTTTAGGCCATCTGGCTTTCACCTTCAGTTACCCCCATATTCCTTTATGAGGTTTCTTTAGTTTCATTTCCTTGTAGCTTCACTTTCTCTCCTGGCCTGCTGTTCTCTTCTGTTATATGTGTCTGAAGTGCAACCATTTACTACTAATTAGGCTGGCTGTACTCTTATGTAGAGCTAGTTTGATTTATCCTTCCAAACTAGTTTCTGGGCCTAGCCCTAGGCTTTTACCTTCATCCTGGGAGACTGCATTTTATCAGTTTTTTTCAGTAGCCCTTTCTCCTTGTTTTATTCCTTCTCTTATTCTACTTCTCAGTGATTCTGTTTGTTCTTTTTTTTAAGATGACACCACTTTGCCATTTAACTTCAGAGGGAAGTAAAATGCTGAATCCATTGAGAAATTCAGCATCCCATTTCCCAGGTTCATGTTAATAATAACTCAGGCGCCCCACATCCCAGGGAGTTTAATTAACAGAATCTAGTAAGTACAATTTCACAATACCAAGATACACAAAACAACAATATTCAAATTACAGAAGTTACTTATATAATAGGTAAACAATAAAAAACATTTCCACCAAGGGATGAAGAACAGAGACTTTCCCCCCCACTAATTTCTCTATAAATACAGGTCTTACAAATTAGCCCAGAGGTTTCAACCTTTGGTCTGCTGGCTAGGGACTGATTTTTATATATAAAATTTTGGCAAAAAGAGAATTTCCTTTCTTTTATATTAAACTCAAAACTTTTCTGATTATTGATAGGCATAAACTCTATCAGTGTATCTTAGATAAAATGAAATCTTGTTTCAACACTAGGACTTTTAAAATTGTGCTAGTAATCAACTGTATATCTATTTGAAAACAAACTCCTTTCTATTCTTTAGTTTTTGTTAGAAGTGTGAAGTTTTAATTCACGGCCAATCAGAAGTACTTGCTATATAACAAGAATAAGTGAAATCTTAGGGCATAGATGGGAATGGGAGTCTTTTACCCCTTTTTTCTTTTCCATTTGCATCTTCCCATCACAGATATTCCAAACTTTACCAGTCATCTCAAAATCTGTCACCTGTACATTTCATCTTAGAAAAATATTTTTTCCTTATAGTTACAAGGAAAAAAAATAGAAAGTCTTAGATGTAATAATTCCTTAACTTGAAAACAATGTAGAAAGGAAAACAGGTTTTCATGGTTTTTTTTTTAAAACCGGTTTTATAGATAGAAGATTTTAATTCTGACCCTGCTACATACTATGATCTTGGACAAGTTATTTGATCTGTGGAGCCTGTTATAATTGTTAAGGATGAAATGAAATGAAATGACATGACATGACATGACATGATTAAGTACTTAGCATAGTCCTTTAAATATAGTAAATAATAGATACTGTTTTGTTTAATTATGTAATTGCCTGCAGTTCAGAAGATACACCTTCCACTTTCCTCCACAAAGATGTTTCAGCAGTTATTCCTTCCATCACACAATCTTTAAACTTTCCTACTCCCTTTAATTCCTAAATGTACAAAAATGCATTGGGAAGAATTTACCTTAGCCAAATACAATATTACCATTAACACTTCTTCTCAAAGCTTGGGCAGTTTCTTGAAAAAGTTATCAATCTCGTAAGTCTCAACTCAGTTACTTCTATCATCTTTTTTCCCCTAAAACTTTACCCACAAAGTTGTAGAAAACCTTCAGGGTAATATTCCTTCTTAGTATCCATTCTTTTTTTTTTTTTTTAAATGTTCTATTGTATTATTTTTTATTTTTATTTATTTTTTAATGTATTTGGTACAGGGTCTACCGGGTCTCACTACATAGATTGGACTCATAGTGATTCTCCTGTTTTCAGCCTCCCACAAGCTGGGATTACAGGCACATGCCACCGCGCCCAGTCTCAGTCGCCTTCTCAGCGTGCCCTGGGGCGGGGCCTGCACAACATGCTGGGGATCGAACCTTGGCCGTTGTACTCTGCCTAAGCAGGTGCTTTAGTCCACTGAGCTATCTCACCAGCCCTTGTAGTATTCATTCTTATTCAGCAACTTTCTTCTCTCCAAATAATTGTTACACTGGTACCAGTATATATTACATATACATTATTCTGCCATTGCTCCACACCTCAGTTATCTTTAATGCTCCTATTTACCTTTTTATTTCACTGCCTATTCAGAAACATTCTAAATCCTATATTTTTTTATTGCTGTACTCTCATGCTGTATTGCCTCACATGTTCCCTCATCTGGAACCATTTGAATAAAAGCAAGTAACTTGTTCCAAAAACTGCCTTCTATATAAATTATTCATACTAAGATCAACTTCAACAATATAGGTATGTGTTTCTTTTTGTTGTTTTTCATCGGGGATACTTCTTGCCATGTAGAAGTCATCATAGCTCCTTCAGTTCTGAACTTTCAGCCTAGACGTCGATGAAATGCCATCTTGACTTTAGCTATCACAATTGGATGGACTTAACCATTCTCTGAATATCTAGTCTTTCCTCCATTATTTTTTGTTCATTGTTGACTTACGGCATTCTGATGAAATCCATGGCTTTATGTACTTGGTTTGAAGTTTTTTACTTTGATTCACTGCCATTCACTCGCTGAGAGTCACATTAAAAACTTTTTTTTTTTTTTTTTTTTTTGGTGGAACCAGGGTAAAAACCCTTGATGAAACTTTGCATTCTTTCATATAAACATTTGATCAGATTTTTGCTCAGATAGTGGTGGAGCAGGATTGGCAGTCTAGTTATCACTGAATTTAATTCTGGCTAAATCAGTATTCCCACAACTTGACCCATAATGAGACCTACCAGGATTCCCAGGATCTGGCTGAATTCCAAGAAAGAACTCCTTATTCATCTTTCTCATTCATCTTTACTCTATCTGCCTTTTCTAAAACTGACTAGAATTTCTGTCATTCCTTTTGAAGCTGTCTTCCTGTCCTTCTGGATATGGTTCCGATGATGAGAAACATCACACCCCAGCATCTTCAGTATCTTTAATCCTTTTTTCTTTTTTTTTATTGGTTGGTAATCTTACTTAAATGATCCCATTTCTCAAGACTCCAACACAAACCTGCATAGCCACTCATTTCTGCCTTTTGGCCTAGGGGGAAAACCCTTTCTGTATTGTTAGTGTACAGGCCATGTTCACTCTGTTGCCAAGTGAATAGATTGCCAATGTGAACGAACACGTATGAGCTTCCTCTTCTACCCCCTCTCAGTGCTGAAACATGTCCTTTGTCTTAGCTTCTAACATACTTACCTGCATCCATGGTTACCAGGAACTGATTTCCTAAGGATTACTAAACAAGCTATTCCTTCTATTTCATTTCACAAATTTATAACACCTTTTATTCTCCATTCACCAAGTGATTATCTGATGCAGCTCTCAAGTACCCACCAATCCCTACTGTTTTCTCCATGCTTTTCATGTTTGGTTTTATTCTATTCTTGGAATAAAGTTTAAATGAACACTTCTCTACCCAGTTTCTGCACTGTAAATTTCCTACATAATTCCCAACATTAAGTAAATGAGAAGCATGTTGTTCTTACTAATACTGTACTTCTATTCTATTTTTGCTCTGCTAACCTGGTTGGAGACCACATTGGATACACTTTAGCCTATATCCAACTCTCATATTTCCTAATTTTATACATCACCTAGGTTTTCCGATTGCTGGCCTCTAAAGGTTTCTACCACTACATCCACATATGTTGACATTAATTGTATAAAGTATTTTTAATAAATGCTGTTTCCATTATCTTACTGAAAGAAGTAATTTCCAAAACATATTAAGGGTATTACCCTACTTGCTTCTCTTCTACACATAAAATCCTCCACTTAACCTACTCATACAATACGCTGTGTAATCAATCCAGCCTATCCCCTGAGATCTGACAATACCCCCTAGCTTGGAAATTGTACATTCTGCTACTGCCATTCCATATTGACAGGCATACCAAGGGAGAACCCCCAAAATGTCAGGTTCTAACCCTCTGTCACATTCAGTACCCACCACCTCACCTAACACCTAACCCAACTAAATTCTCAAGTATGG